CCACTTTCAGCACAGCCCATGTCGATTGCTTCAATTTTGATGATGATAATATGGGCATTACATATAGGCACCAAAATTATAGAGTCTATATACAAAGCTAATTTGACACAGGAACTGTCATTTTCATCACATTAGTTAATGCCCTCTCTTAAAAATGTGCAGCTTAGCAAGCAATCGCCTGTATGAAGTAATATCCCTTACCCTTAGAGACATCCACCCGAGAAATTCTAGGAATTCTGTAGTGAGTAACTCACTTCCTGTCTCCCTAAACACTGTCCAATATCCACAAAGCACAAGTCAGGAGTGTGATGGAATACTCTCTGTTGCCTGGATGAGTGTAGCTCCAACAACACTCAAGAATCTCAACACCATCCAGAACAAAGCGGCCTGCTAGATTGGCACTCCAACCATCACCTTCAATATTGACTACCTCCATAACTGACACACAGTTGCAGCAGCAGTGCATACCATCTACAAGATACACCGCAGTAACTCACAAGACTCCATTGAAACCATCTTCCAAGCCCGTGACCTCTACCACCTAGAAGGGCAAGGGCAGCAGGTGCATGGCAACATTACTACCTGCAAATTCCCCTCCAAGTCATATACTGTCCTGTCTCAGAACTATATCACTGTCCCTCCTGTGTTGCTTAGTCAAAATCCTGAAGCTCACTTCTTAACAGCACTACAGTTGTCCCCACATCCAAGAAGTGCACAATTCAGCAAGGCAGGGTCATTCTCCAGGGCAATTAGGGTTAGGGAATAAATGCTGACCCAGCCAGTGATGCTCACTTTCCATGAACTAACAAAAAAGTATACAGGTTATTTGTTTGTTACTGCCGATTTTTTTTCTCTCACAGGGTCATAAGTCTTTGGAATTCTCTGCCTCAAAAGATGGTGACAGTAGAATCTTTGAATATTTTTAAGGCAGAGGTGGATAGATTCTCGGGAAGGTGGTGAAAGGTTAATGTCTCATCAATAGAATGGCCTTGGTCATCTGATCTCCCATTTACATCACAATTTCTTGGGGTTTACAGTGGTAGAAAATGATCTGCACACTTGCCAGTTTGCTTAAATGCTTTATATTCCCAGTTGGGTAAACAGGTTTTAAAATCACCTGACAAGTCCTCAGTAATTATGACCAAATGGTGATTTTGGCTTGGCTGTGACTAAATAAAAGAGACTCAGTAGCTTGTTCTACATCTTTCTCAATGTTGATGTCCAATGAGTTCACTAACTGGTCTAAGTAAAGCAGGTTTTGCTTTATGCCTTGTTCAGGGTGGCTGCATGCAGGCCGGAGGTGAATGGTGAAAGGCATTGTAAATGTGAGTGATGGTGCATCGAAGCTACATTATACAAGCATAGGGAGGCTTGATGGACTAACTGGTCTTTGTCCATCTCTGTATATTCCTATAGTCTGGCAAATGAGAGTGCAATCCCCTGTCTAGGATCATGTGACTTCATCACGAGGGCTCATGGGATCACGAAGCCTGTGGATTTTAGAAAGGCCTTCGGCAAGGTTCAGCATGGCAGACTGGTTAGTAAATAGAAACCGAAAGTACTGCGGATGCTGTAAATCAGGAACAAAAACAAAGTTGCTGGAAAAGCTCAGCAAGTCTGGCAGCATCTGTGAAGGAAAAAACAGAGTTAACGTTTCGGGTCCGGTGACCATTCCTCAGAGAATAGTGGTAGTGGGTTTTTCTTCAGACTGGAGGCCTGTGATCATTGGTGTGCCACAAGGATTGGTGCTGGGTCCACTGTTATTCGTCATTTACACAAACGATTTGGATGAGAATATAAGCGGCGTGGTTGTTAAATTTGCAGATGACACCAATATTGTTGGTATAGTGGACAGTGAAGAGGGCTATCTAAGAGTATAATGTGATCTTGATCACCTGGGCCAGTGAGATGAGGAACGGTAGATTGAATTTAATAAATAAATGCGAGGTGTTGCATTTTGTTAAGACAGACCAAAGCAGGACTTAACACAGTTAACGGTAGGGTTCTGGGGAGTGTCATTGAACAGAGAGACTGAGGGATATAGGTACATAGTTCCTTGAAAGTGGTGTCACAGATAGACAGGGTAGGTGAAGAAGGCATTTGGCACGCTTGCTTTCATTGGTTAGAGCATTGGGTATATTGGGACGTCATGTTGTGGCTATACAGGACTTCGGTAGGGCCACATTTGGAGTACTGCATGCAATTCTGGTCACCCTGCTGTCGGACGGATGTTATTAAACTGGAAGAATGCAAAAAAAGATACACAAGGATGTTACCAAAACTGGACGGTTTGAGTTAAGAGAGGTTGGATAAGCTGGGACTTTTCCCCTGGAACGCAGGAGGCTAAAGGATGATCTTATAGAGGCTTATAAAATCATGATGGGCATACATAAGGTGAACAGCCAAGGTCTTTTTCCCAGGGTAGGGGAGTCCAAAACTAGAGGGCGTAGGTTTAAGGTGAGAGGGGAAAGATTTAAAAGGGACCTGAGGGGCAAATTCTTTACACAGAGCGTGGTGCATGTATGGAACGAGCTGCTAGAGGAAGTGGTAGAAGCGAGTTCAATTACAACATTTGAAAGCCATTTGAACAGGTACATGGATGGGATTAGCGGGGTATGGGCCAAACGCAGGCAAATGGGACTAGTTCAGTTCAGGGAAGATGGTTGGCATGGACAATTTGGGCTGAAAGGTCTGTTTCCATGCTGTATGACTCTATGACCGACAGGAATGAGATTTCAGTGCTTTAGCACAATGGATGTTTTCTGGGGAAGGGTCTAGGCCCGACGAGTCGGCCTTTACTGCTCCTCTGATGCTGCTTGGTCTGTTGTGTTCATCCAGCTCTACACCTTGTTATCTCAGATTCTCCAGCATCTGCAGTTCCTACTATCTCTGAAACATTCTGAAGAGCTTGCCTGGCTTGTATCAGGGTTTTGCTGTTTCTGGGGGTGTTTTGGAGTTATAGAGTGAAACTGAGAGAGCTAGGAAACATTTCAGAGCCAATGTATGGGTAAATTCAATTAATTTGGATATTTATTTTCTAATTCTTATGTTATAAATGCTAGTTGTTAAATTTATAAAGTCGGTTTTTTCAAAATAATTGTCCACTCAAGGGTTTTGAACAAATTATTTGATTAGCAGGTTTGGTTGTTTTGTAAATAAGAGCTTTTTAAAAAAGTGCAGGAATTTTCGTGATACTTGTTCTTCATGGATATTTTGCTATTTGTGATTCATTCACGTTTAGTGTGAATTATTAGATATTGGATTATTTAATGAAAAATAGAATCATTTTTGTTTGCCTCTCTGAATTTGTGTCATGATAAACAAATGGCATCATGACATTTTGCAGGGTCAGATGGCTTTAAGTACTGTGAAACTAGGAACATATACTGCACTTAATGTGTTTAATTATAGAAATAGGCATATTCTATTTTTACATGCGTTCAAAGAACTGATTTTGCAAAATTGTGCTGTCAACAGGGAGCCTCACTTGCCAGCTGCTCAAGTAAAGAAATGAGAAGCATGCAACATTTCTTTTTCCTCTGTGCGAAAACTGAGAACTGGCCCAGACACAATGTGCCAAATGGCCTCCTTCTGTGCTGTGAACTTCTAAACTTCCCCGGTCCTGTAGCTGGTAAAACTCCCCACTGCCAGTGCAGATCAGGAACATTATCACAGTATTGAATGGATTTCTCATGTGCATATGCTTTATTTTAATTATTATGGGATGAGATAATAAGATCAAGAAGCAGATGAGAGGTACAATTATATTAATGGAACTGTCGTTTATGAAAAGAAAAAAACATTTACCACTATATAATTAAAAGATGCTATATGCACGTATTTATTTTGGTAAATCTGATGTATTTACTTTCACAATGATAATATGTGAGAGACACTAATATTTGTGGGTTAAACGGCTAGCATACATGCATATTGTTTTTTCTTCATACTTCTGGGCACTGAAGAAGAAACTCCACATGGAGTCCTAATTACCATTGTTAAAACTATTTTTAGTGGTGTTATTCTGTGTCTGTTTCTTGGATCATTGGCTTTCTTATGTTATTTATTTTCAGGCATCTTCTAAGCAGAGTTTTCTTGTCTACATAACTCACTTTTTGTACTGCTATTTATGGTCAAAGGCACAGCATTTAAATTTTTTTAATAAGATGTTGACTGAGGAAATGGTTATGTATACCAATGAAAATTTGAAGGTCACTGACATGTAGGGGAAAATAGTGAAAGGAAATGTACAATGCATGCTTGGGAGAGAGTAAAGAATACCAAAGTTTTGAGAAGAGTTGAGAAGATCAGAGATGACAATAAGACAAAGTGGTCTGGGAAATTACATTAGGAAGGAAGGATAGAATATAGACTTTTAATTCTTCCTGTGAGAAATGTGAAGAGAGTTGAGTTTGTTTATTGTGTAAATGAGAAGTTAAGTGCAATCTGCACCAGTAATGCTAATTTAGTTCCATGCATACTATTGTAGGCTGAAAATAAATACTCTATTCTGCTTCCTGTCTGATAGAGTCGGAATGGCTAAAATTAAATTGTGGTGCTACAAAATTTAGCTTGAATCGTAAGGAACTAAATTTATTGAATTTTGCTATCCTTAATATTGACTTTGCATTTTAGTGCATTTCACTAAAAATTTGTTCTCTGACAAGTTGATTTATCTCTCTGTAAATGTCCCTAATTTGAATAATTGTTTTTAAAAAGTCAATTGCAGGTGCCTAGAATCATTGCTGCGAATTAAATTGCAACGTTAGCCCCATCATTTTTTGCAGCCCCAGCATAACACAGTTGCACTTTAATTAGGACGTGACCTGAGTGGGGAGTGCAGACCTCAGGGCACCTCAGTGGTTATGATGCTTCAACTACTTTAACTCCAGTAATAAACTGCACTTTTTCCTCTGAAGGATTACCTTAGTAACATGCATTTCACTAAAAGTTATAAAATGAAAGATAATATTCTAATTATTATCTTTTCCTTTCAATAGTGATTCAGTCACACATATTGTGACAGAGAATAATTCTTGGAATGAAATTTGGGACTGGATTCAAAACCTGAAGCTGTTAAATGCAGGCAAGCTTAAGATGCTCAATATCTCCTGGTTCACAGACAGCATGGCTGCTGGAAAGCCTGTGGAGATAGAGGAACGGCATAAGCTTCAGGTAAATTTTACCTTACAGAATTAACCATGAGCTCCAGTATTATGCATGTTTACTGTAAGGCTTGCCAGCATTCTTGAGTGCATAAGGTTATTTTGTTTTTACACCAGTGAGATTAAAGATAGCTGATCATTCTGCATCATTCGAACACGTGCTGTACAATTGCTTAAACTGAATAAAAGTGACATCTTATTTTGGCAAATCAGTTATTAATGGCTTCTCATCCAGATAGCAAGGAGATTCAAGGATAAAGACAAATAACAACTGAGAATACATGTCAAACAATATTTATGTGACAGGCTTGAAGTTATTAAATATTATGCTGTGTCGGGCAACTGATGCACTTAAATAGTAAATGAAACTATTAAAATAATAATCATACCATCATCCTCCAACACTTGTCTTCGATTACCCAGTTTTGTGGGTCTGCCTTTCTCCTTCCATTCCTACTCAATCATAATTAGAGTATTTCTTGTAATGGCTTCTCATTGGTTCCTACAAAGTTACCTTTCGAGTTCCTGAGGATCTATCCTTGGCTCTGTCCTGTTTCTCATCCATTAGCTGTTGCTTGGCGACACCGTCTGAAAGCACTATGCCAGTTTGTACAAGTGTGCTGTTGATGTTCTAACTCTAACTCACTACCAACTATCCTGAGCCCTCCACTGCCTTTAATTTGTTATGCTGCTTGTCAGACTTCCCAATTTGGATGCAAAGAAATTTCTTCCAATTAAATATTAGAAAGACTGAAACCGCTGTCTTCGCTCCTTGCCACAAACACCATTCACTAGGCATTCATCTCATCCCTTTGCTTGGCTACTGTCTCAGGCTCTACCAGAATGTTTGAAATTTGACACTGAGGTGAAAGTTCAACGCCATTGCTTTTTAATTATCATGATCACCTGGTCCCACCTCCACTGCATTACCTTCTTTGCCCTGTGTCAGTTCATCTGCTGCATCTAACTTTCACTATTTCCGTACCCTCCCCACCTTAAACTTGATCTCATTCAAAATGTTGTTTCACGTTTTAGCTCACAGCAAGCCCTGATCATCTACCTTTTCAATTCTCATTGACTAATTTTCCTTACCTCCGACAATGACTAGATTTTAAATCTGGTTCACTATTGTCCTTCAGGGAAGGAAATCTGCCATCCTCACCTGGTCTGACCTATTTGTGACACCAGACGCACAGCAAGGTGGTTGACTCTCAACTGCCCTCTGAAATGGCCCAACAAGCCAATCAGTCATACCAATCGCTACAAAGTCTCAAAGAAATGAAATTGGACGGATCACCTCGTATCGACCTAGGCACCAAAAGACATCGGCAGAAATAGCCATGAGGACTCTGCAAAGTCCTCCTCACTAACATCTGGGGGTTAGTGCCAAAATTGGGAGAGCTGTCTCACAGACTAGTCAAGCAACAGCCTGACATAGTCATACTCATGGAATCATAACTTACGGAAAATGTCTCAGACACCACCATCACCATCCCTGGAGATGTTCTGTCCCGCCAGCAGGATGGACCCAGCAGAGGTGGCGGCACAATGGTATACAGTTAGGTGGGAGTTGCTCTGGGAGTCCTGGACCCCATGAAGACTCATGGCTTCAGGTTAAACATGGGCAAGGAAACCTCCTTCTGATTACCACATACCGTCCTGCCTCAGCTGATGAATCTGTACTCCTCCAGGTTGAACAACCCTTGGAGGAAGCACTGAGGATGTCAAGGGCACAAAATGTACTCTGGGTGGGGGATTTCAATGTCCACCAGCAAAAGTGGCTCAGCTGTTGTACTACTGATCGAGCTAATGGAGTCCTAAAGGACATAGCTGTTAGACTGGGTCTGTGGCAGGTAGTGAGGGAACCAACAAGAGAGAAAAACATACTTGACCTCATTCTTACTAATCTGCCGGCTGTAGATGCATCTGTCCATGACAGTATCGGTAAGAGTGACCATCGCACAGTCCTTGTGGAGACGAAGTCCCACCTTCAAACTGAGAACAACCTCCATCATGTTGTGTGGCACTATTACCATGCTAAATGTGACAGACTTCAAAGAGGTCTAGCAACTCGAGACTGGTCATCCATGAGGCGCTGTGGGCCATCAACAGCAGCGGAATTGAATTCCAGCACAAGCTGTAACCTCATGGTCTGGCATATCCCCCACTCAACCATTACCAACAAGCCAGGGGATGGGTGCAGGAGGGCATGCCAGGAGCAGCACTAAGCATAGCTGAAGATGAGGTGTCAACCTGGTGAAGCCACCAAATAGGACTACTTGCACACCAAACAGCATAAGCAGCAAATGACAGACAGAACTAAGCGATCCCACAACCAACAGATCAGGTTAAGCTCTGCAGTCCTGCCACATCCAGTCGTGAATGGTGGTGGACAATTAAACATCTCACTGGAGGAGGAGGTTCCACAAGTATCCCCATCCTCAATGATGAAGAGCTGTACAAATCAGTGCAAAAGATAAGGCTGAAGAATTTGCAGCAATCTTCAGCCAGAAGTGCTGAGTGGATGATCCATCTCGACCTCCTCCAGTGGTCCCCAGCATCACAGATACCAGTCTTCAGCCAATTCCGTTCACTCCACGTTATAGCAAGAAATGATTAGAGACACTGGATATTGCAAAAGCTATGGTCCCAGTCAATATTCCGGCAATAGTACTGAAGACTTCTGCTCCAGAACTTGCCGCTCCCCTGTCCAAACAGTGCCAGTACAGTTACAACACTGGCATCTACCCGACAATGTGGAAAATTGCCCAAGTATATCCTGTACATAAAAAATAGGACAAATCCAATCTGGCCAATTACTGCCCCATCCGTCTACCCTTGATCGTCAGTAAAGTGATGGAAAGTGGCATCAACAGTGCTATCAAGCAGCACCTGCTCAGCAATAACCTGCTCAGCGATGCCCAGTTTGGGTTCTGCCAGGGCCACTCAGCCCCTGACCTCATTACAGCCTTGGTTCAAACATGGGCAAAAGAGCTGAATTCCAGAGGTGAGGTGAGAGTGACAGCCCTTGACATCAAGGCTGCATTTGACCGAGTGTGGCATCAAGGAACCCGAGCAAAACTGGAATCAATGGGTATCGGGGAAAAACTCTCTGGTGGTGGAGTCATACCTGACACATAGGAAGATGGTCGTGGTTGTTGGAGATCAGTCATCTCAGCTCCAGGACAGCTGTGCAGGCGTTCCTCAGGGTAGTGGCCTAGGCCTGCATGAGCAAGTTGCATCTGCCAAAATTGGGAAAGCTGTCTCACAGACTAGTCAAGCAACAACCTGACATAGTCATACTCACAGAATCATACCTTACAGACAATGTCCCAGACACCACCATCACCATCCCTGGATATGTCCTGTCCCTCCGGCAGGACAGACCCAGCAGAGGTTGTGGCACAGTGGTATACAGTCAGGAGGGAGTTGGTCTGGGAGTCCTCAACATTGACTCCAGACCCCATGAAGTCTCATGGCTTCAGGTGAAACATGGGCAAGGAAACCTCCTTCTGATTACCACGTACCATCTTCACTCAGCTGATGAAGGAGTGCTCCTCCAGGCTGAACAATCCTTGGAGGAAGCACTGAGGATGGCAAGGGCACAAAATGTACTCTGGGAGGGGGGCTTTCAATGTCCACCATGAAGAGTGCCTTGGCAGCATTACTACACGTTAAGCTGGTCGGGTCCTAAAGGACGTAGTTGTTAGACTGAGTCTGCAGCAGGTGGTGCAGGAACTAACAAGAGGGGAAACCTACTTGACCTCATCCTGACCAATCTGCAAGCTGCAGATGCATCTGTCCATGACAGTATCAGTAAGATTGACTATCGCACAGTCCTTGTGGAGACAAAGTTCCACCTTCGCATTGAGAAAGACCTCCATCGTGTTGTATGGCACTATCACTGTGCTAAATGGAACAGACTTCAAAAAGATCTAGCAACTCAAGACTGGGCATCCATGAGGCGCTGTGGGCCATCCACAGCAGCAGAATTGTACTCCGGTATTATCTGTAACCTCAGGGCCCGACATATCCCCCACTCAACCATTACCATCAAACCAGGGGATCAACCCTGGTTCAATGGAGGGTGCAGGAGGGCATGCCAGGAGCAGCACCAGGCATACCTGAAGATGAGGTATCAACCTGGTGAAGCCACCAAACAGGACTACTTGTATGCCAACAGCAAATGCAGCAGGAGATAGACAGAGCTAAACGATCCCACAACCAATGGATCAAATCTAAACTCTACAATCCTGCCACATCCAGTCATGAATGGTGATGGACAATTAAACAGCTCACAGGAGGAGGAAGCTCCACAAATATCCCCATCCTCAATGATGGAAGAGCCCAGCACATCAATGCAAAAGATAAGACTTTATCCCCAGCATTACAGATACCAGTCTTCAGCCAATACAATTCATTCCACGTGATATCAAGAAACGATTGGAGACACTGGATACAGCAAAGGCTATGGGCCCTGACAACATTCTAGCAATAAAATTGAAGATCTGTGCTCCAGAACTTGCTGCTCCCCTGGCCAAACTGTGCCAGTACAGTTATAACACTGGCATCTATCCAACAATGTGGAAAATTGCCCAAGTATGTCCAGTACATAAAAATAGGACAAATCCAAACTGCCCAATTATTTCCCCATCAGTCTACTCTCAATCATCAGTAAAGTGACGGAAGGTGTCATCATCAGTGCTATCAAGCAACACCTACTCAGCAATAATTTGCTCAGCGATGCCCAGTTTGGGTTCCGCCAGGGCCACTCAGCTCCTGACCTCATTTCAGCCTTGGTTTAAACATTGGCAAAATAGCTGAATTCCAGAGGTGAGGTGAAAGTGACAGCCCTTGACATCAAGGCTGCATTCGACCGAGTGTGGCATCAGGAAACCCTCAGTAAAACTGGAATCAATGTGTATCAAGGGTAAACTCTCCAAAGGTTAGAGATATACTTAACACATCGGAAGATGGTCATCATTGTTGGAGGTCAGTCATCTCAGCTCC